CCTTACTATGACCTGAATACTGAAAATTAAAACAAGTGAAAGGAGTAGTTACCACTGCATTCTAGTGCACTGATCAATTACCTTCTCTTTTGGACAATGCACTGCATTTTATATTAGATTTTCATATTGCACCCCAATACATTTTTTTATTTAAAAGAATCTATTACGAAAAGTCATTTCTATGATTTCATAAACACCCCTGGATCCTACAAACATAAGCAGTACAGAACCCAAAATACTAATTCTTTTAATAACATGATGCTCATGCATTGTTATCAAAATATTGACTACTCTAAAAAAAGAAAAGAAAAAGAAGATAAAATTTACATTTTCTACTACGAAACATACACAGGCTCCTCACTGGTGACTGAAAGTGCTGCAAGCCAATTAAAAACTCCTGTGTCTGCTGGCCTATTTCCTTCCATATAAATAGGGGAAAAGGAATGAAACGTAGCCTCACTGTTTCAATGTGTAAGCTTTACCTCCTAAAGATTCTTGAAAGAACTACTGCAATTAAAACTAAGCGCGTTTTTAATCATAAGTACCATATTAATTTCAGTGTGTCACCACTGAATGATTCACTGGCCATCATCCTCCAAAAAATATGGAGAATATTTATTTCGCATGTAATATATTTTTTCTGCAAGGGGCACTGAAAGATTAAGAAACTATTAGGTAAAGTAATAAGACAAGGGAGTTTTTCTGGTTTTAGCCCATGCACAAGTGAACAGGAAATACCCATGCTGTGTGTACTGTGTGTTTTGAACATAAAAATATTTGTAGATACAGTAACCGGAGAAAAAGTACAGTCAAAAGGTAACAGTGTGTTGTTTGAAGACTCCTTACATCTGGTTACCCTTGAAAGCATTCTGAGCTGCACTCGTTGCTGCAGTTGATGCTGCATTTGCGGCTGCGGTCTGGACAGTTTTGTTGGACATCACCCCTGTTGCAAACTCTTGTTGGGCCTTCTCAAAACTAGCACCTGTGGTTCGATATAGTCCATGTACCTATGGAAGCAGAAAAAGTGGGAGAAAGTAAGTGGCATTCTACGTACTCATTTCCAGCAGCTCTTATATTAATCTCAACATTCCTCAGAGATAAGAGGAATAGGTTCTAGTCATGATTCCTAAAACCCAGAACATTAGCCACCTCCTTGGCACACAATATTGTATTCAAATAATTTCCTTTTTTTTTTTTTTTTTTAGAGAGAGATTTTTGCTATAGGCCATGTGTGCTTGCCAGAGAGATGGAGAGATAGAAAGTGAGAAATCACCCCTCGGGTGGGATGGCCACACTGCAAACCCTCTTCCTCCATTCTCCTCTCAAGATTTTGGGCACACACGCACATAAGCCCAGCATGAGTTTCAAGTCACCAGGTCTGGGACTTGAACCATGGTCGGCCATTTGGGAGTCCAGCAATGAAACCATTATACCATCCGATGGTCCTGTTAAATAGTTTATTAATACAGGTCCCCCCCCCCAGTAAAAGATATAATTATGCCAATTCAAAAGAAAAATTATTTTAAAAACAACTTCTTAACCAGTTGCAAAGAGTTATGTTTCCCTTCTCACTCAGCTAATTGCCAAAGAATCACTGAAACATATCAATAAGAGATAATCTGAATTTTTTTTCTTCTTGAAGAGGTTTTTGCTATAGGGCATCTGCACTCACCAGAAAGACAGAGAGAGACAGAAAGACAGAAAGCAAGAAATCACCCGCCAGGGTGGAAGGCCACGCCACAATCCCTTCTCCTCCGTTCTCCTCTCGGGATCTTGGGCACGCACACACTCGCGCCTGGTGTGAGTTTAAGCCACTGGGTCTGGCACTCGAACCACGGTAGACTACGTGGGAGTCCAGCGACATAGCCATTATACCAACTGCTGGTCCCAACAATCTGATTTTAATATATTAATTTACTACTTCAGACCAAACAGAATAGTATCTTATGTGTATTTTTTTTTTAAGTTTATTTATTTCTTCCAAGAACAAGGAAGAGGCAGAAAGCACCCTAACAGGGTTTCAACACTGTGATCCAGCCCCGAGCTTCAGTCAGCCCTGACCACGGGTATTGGCATGCTCAGTGAACTCAGAGAGGCCTTTGGAGGTGAACCTGGACCTTCCCATGTGGGACAGCCTCACAGAGCATCACATTTTACCACTGCGCCACGGTCTGGCCCTGATTAATTTCTGTGTTGGCTACCTATACACCACTGACCCATTACCATCAAATAGGTCATTTTTATCATTTAATGTACCAACCACTATTTATGTCCTTAAACATGATATTGCTCTAACCACTTTGTATGCCATTTAACTTTTTGCATATGGTCAAGTCCAAAAGCATTTATTTTTTAATAAACCCTGCTGTGAACTGAATCTCCATACTGATTCATCACTCAAAACTTTGGATTTCTTTTCATGAATCAGGTTCAAAAATTTTCTAACAGGACCAGCAGATGGCATAATGGTTACGTTGCTGGACTCCCACACAGTCGACCCCGGTTTGAGTCCCAGACCTGGTGGCTTAAAACTCATTCCAGGCGTGTGTGTGTGAGAGCCCAGAATCATGAGAGGAGAATGCAGGAGAGGTGACTACAGTGTGCCCATCTTCCCTGAAGGGTGATTTCTCACTTTCTGTTTCTCTGTCTCTGTCTCTCCAGTGAGCACATGCACCCTACAGTAAAAAAGAAAAAAGAAAAAAAAAGATTTTGTCTACATGTTTTAAGTTGCATAATAACACTATAAAGCTTGTCAATGTATGACACCAGCCACTCAATTTAACATATATTTGGAAAATAAAATAATAAAGCAAATTGGCACAGATCGGTAATTACACAACACCGTGAATGAGAAGACAGACTAAAAGACCATCAAAGCCAGTGTCGAGAAGAAGATTCCTCATGGCTCCTGCGAAGTAGTTATTTCAGGGAACAGGAGAAATGAAGATTTTCTACTGATAATTCAGCCTCCAGCAAACAAAGCTAGCAAGGTTGAACTTCAAGAATTAGAAATAAACACACCATCCATCAGATGACAAGAAATCACCACAGGACCACAAGAAATATGGGAAAGCAAGAAAATACCACCCCTCCAAGGGAAAAGAATAACTCCTCTTCATCCACAAGCAGTTCAATGCAAATCATGGAAATGTCTGATAAAGAATTTAGAGTATTTATAATGTCGAAGCTAACAGAGATGGAAGAGAAGAGAGACAATGAACTGCCAAAGAGAAAGGAGGAAGAAGTTGACGAATTCCAGGAGGTGAGGAAATTCTTGCAAGATCTAAAAGAGGAATTACACGCTTTACAAAAGAGTCAAACGGAACTGTTAGAAATGAAGTCTACAATACAGGAAGTCAAGATCTCCCTTGAAAGTATTAAAAGCAGACTAGATCATACAGAAAATAGAATCTCAGATGTAGAAGAGAAAATTGCTGGCCTAGAAAAATCCACCATGAAGACTGAGAAAATGGCACAAAAATTTGAGAATAATATACAAGAAGTACTAGATACCATCAAATGTCCAAATATCCGGATGATTGGCATTCCAGAAGGTGAAGAGACCCATAAGGGCATTGATAATCTATTCCATGAAATCCTGCAAGAAAACTTCACAAACCTAAAGAGGCATTCAAAGATCCAGTCGCAAGAAATACAAAGGACCCAAAATAGAATCAACTCAAGAAGATCTTCTCCAAGACACATTATAGCCAGGTTGACCAAAACCACAAAAACAAGATACTAAAATTGGCAAGAGAAAAACACCAAGTTATCTATAAAGGACATCCCATCAGGCTAACAGCAGATCTCTCATCGGAAACAATGC